TTAATAATAGGGGGAAGGGATTAGTCATCCTCCGGCTGTCGTGGTGAATCCCGCGCCGGGGGCTTATAAAGATCCTTAGTTGTAGTTTACTCCCTCAATAAGTTTCACCAGTTTTTCTGAATCCGCCCACGTACACGCTTAAAAAGTGCTGCCGGGCAAAAAGGACCCTATATACAACCTCAGGGGAAGGACTAGACCCTCAAGCCTCATTTGTACAGTAGAAGCCAGAAAGTTGGAACATGTTTGATAAGGGGCGTCAAGATAAAACTAAACATGTAAAACATTCCATGCATTAGGGTTCCTTACTCACTACCATATACAACTCTGTATATAGTGGGAAATCACCTAATTGTTAAAGCCCCTGTGTTATCTTCATCTCTTTACTGCAATTAATTAAGGGAAACTAAAGGGAAACCTGGCACTAAGCATCCTTAAACCCTAAACCCTCGTTTCTAGACAGCAGGAGCTGACAAACATCATCTCTGGCTTCGTGATCAGCGTCCGCTCCCTCTTCTGGGTGATGATGACGCTCTTCGTGGTCGTGTGCCCTCTTTGGGTTGTTGGGTTTAGGATTGTTTAGCGTTGTTTTAGGGCTTAGGGTGAGTCCGCGAGGGAGAGAGAGACAGGATTGTTAAGGGATTTTTGGCATCTCGTTTGGTATTTTATGGCTCTAGAAGTTTTTTGACTAGTATTTTCAATTATAGGTTCCTGATGTATAACCCTACGTCCCATGATTGTTTACGTAGCTGTAAAATACATAGAAGGACCTTACGCCCCTGCTGCGCAGTCTTGAAAGCCAATATACACGCTCTACAACCACCACACCTCTAAACCCCTAAAGCCCAAATCGCCCGAAATCCGGATTCACTCCCGAAGCTTTGACCCCGAGATTCGCCGCAAGAAGAAGCTCATGATGCTTATGTTTGGCGGGTACAGTTCCAAGAAGTGCGTTGGTCCTTGGTGAACAGATTCGGGATGTAAGGTAAATTATTTATAGGGGCCTTCATAATCATTAGCATATAGGGCTTGGGGTATATTATACTACAAGTATACTAATGAACTACATAATTAGAATAGGGCTTAGGGTGTATTATACTATACAGTATACTAATGAACTGTTTGTGGTATGGAGAGCTTTACTGGGTTCTTGTTAAGGGGTTTAATTTAAGTTACCATAATAGGGATCTATAGTAATTAGTATTGTTTCCTTATTATGGTAACTTAAATTAAATCCCTTAACAAGAACCCAGTTTACCGAGCTGGATGGATACAGGCAGGCGTCGCTCCGCTTTGGAACGAGTTTCGGGTCCTGGCTGCGATGATCTGGACTACCCATAGGCCCTAAAGTAGTTCCTTTTTGGGGGTTCATATAGAATCCTATNNCAAAAAGGAACTTCTATGGGGCCTAAGGGTAGATGCTGAAGCTGCAAGCATCTGAATCTCCGCCGGGGAAGTGCGCCGTCTTGGCTTTACACGCGAAGGGACAGCTCAGAACACGGATGACTGCACAGCCCATAGCAACATGCGTGTGGCTATGACATGAAGTGATGCTGTGCACAGGAGTATGTTACTCCTTTGCTTCTTTGCACTCTCAGTTTGCCCTTGTGTTCTTGTGATTGGGACTGATCTTTCGATGTCTTTGCCTTTCCATATCGAGACGAAAATCCCAGAACATGACGGAATGGCTGCAACCGTAAACCCTAAAGCCCAAAGCC